CCCCAAAACCCCAAAACCCCAAAACCCCGAGCTGTGATTATTTTGTTTTTAAATACAAAAATTTAAATTAAAATCAAAGCAAAAAATGTGTGGGAGAGTCATGTGCCGATTAGATCCATCTATAATAAAATAGCTATTTAACACGATGGAATTTCGCAACCAGGAAAAGTATAGAAAATCATATAACTCTGGTCCAATGAGATTTTTACCTTTGGCTTATAATTTATCAGCTCCTAAATGTAAAAATCACAAACAAAAGCCTTAGACTAGAAAGACAGCTAAATCTTAATCAGAAAATAGCAATGAAGAGGAAAAAGAAGAAATAGAGGAGCTAAAAGAAACTTAAAATAATGAGAGTAATAGCACATGTGGAGTGATTATTGAAGCAATGTAATGGGGAATGCATAGACCTGGAACTACAGATTTGGTAATTAATGGAAGATTTGAAGAGCTAATTAACAAACCAATGTTTAGAGGACTCTTGGATCGTAAAAGATGCGTAGTACGAAAAATGCTTTCTTATTAAATTTTTTATAGTTGATGGTGAATGGATACTATGAATGGGATGAATCTAATTCTAGTAAGATAAGACCATTCATGATCTAGAATGAAAAGGAAGGAGACTATTTATACCTTGCTTGCCTCTATAATAATGCTTTTACAGAAAAAATAGGAGATGAATATAATCATTTTGTTGTTCTCACAGTTGGGGCTTCAGATAATATTAAACACATTCATGATAGAAGGCCAGTTTTCTTAGATGACTATACTAAGGAACTATGGCTTGATCCAAGCGTTAGCTTTAAGAAATGTTTTGAGGAAATTATGAAATCTAAATCTTATGAAGGATTAAAGTTTTTTGAAGTTGGAGATATTGTAAACAGTATAAAATATGATAATGAGGATTGTATACTTCCAAAGAAAGATTATGAAGAGAAATTGCATAGCAAAGGACTGGGAAAATATTTCGGAAAAACCTATAAAACTGCTACTAATACTTAGCCTACTTAATAAACATAGGATTAGACGCAACCTTAGAGTATAACTACTTAAAAGAACTTAGAAGAAGAAAAAGAAATTAAAATAATTAATGATCCCTAAACTTCAAAGAGAAAATTAAGTAAACATAATGATTTCGAGGAGGAAGTTAAAGGGGATATTGGCAATTAAGAGAGGCTTTAATTCTAAAATATTATGGATGAATTTAGAAAGAGAACAGTCAGAGAAGTAAATGAAAACATAAGGAAAAGTTAGGAAGAATAAAAAGTTAAAGAGAGTGATAAATCTGATAACAAAGGAAAAAGGAAAAGTAAGAATAAGAAATCAATAGATGAAGATCCCAGATAAAAAAGATTAGAATTCTTTGCTAAAAAGTAACAATGAATTTGATTTGGAATTATTGAGAGTGCAATCCTATATTAATAAAATTGAGTATATATTTTGATAATTTTAATGCATTAATTTTATAAATATGGGTCAGAGTGGGGTTTTGGGGTTTTGGGG